TATTCTATTCTATTCTATTCTATTCTATTCTATTCTATTCTATTCTAAATGTGACCCATTAGAGTGTTCCTCAAAGACAACTCGTTGGTGTTATCACCGCCTACAGAGACCCGCAAAGGAATTCAAGAGGAAACAGGGACTTTGTCATCTCATTTCTATAGGAATAGCAAGCAGGCAGCTATTCAATCGGCTTCCGTAGAAGGCGACAGGCCTTCCGTCTGGGTTGCTAGAGACGCTGTTACCAAGGTAACGGAAACAGGCGGTTGCTGAGGCCGGCGGAGTACCGAGGCCGCCAAAATGAGCGCCCCTGTAGCCGAAGGCGAAGCCGGGACAGAGGTCGACGTGGAGGTGGAGGCGTCGGGCGGGGCCAGCCGGGACGTTGGCAGCGGCGCCGTCCCGCGTCCCAAGCTGGCCAATTTAAACTCAGATGACCCCCTGGAGCGCATCGCCGCCCGCCGCGTTCGCATCGCCGCCCGCCTGGAGGCGAAACGACGGTCGGTTTGATGGAGGGGGCGGGATGGGGGAATAGACGCACCTGATTCGCATCGGGGATCCTAAAACGAACCCCCAAAGCGCTTTGCAAGAATTGAAGCCTGAAAGGAAAATCTGCCGGTCTTTTGCGTAATTGCAAATCCACAGCAACTGGTATAATAAATGCTTCCTCCACGAGGTAACCGTGACGGGTCCTAAAATGCTGGCGAACTTATGTGAATCCTCGAGCCCTGTCAATCTCATCCTAATTGTTCTCCTCTCATCCCCCAAATCCACCCAAGTGTTGAGTCCCTTACTCTATACCCTTCATGTGCATGACTGCATTCCCACTCATGCTAGTAATACTATTGATAAATTTACAGATGATACAACAGTGGTGGGACTGTTAATCTCCAGGGGGATGAGTCTGCCTACTGAGATGAGGTGGACCGGTTGCTTTCATGGTGTGGAGACAATAACTTGGTCCTCAACGCCAATAAGACTTGAAAAAGCACTACACAATCTAAAACCTTCTCTATATTGGGCTGGACAGAATATGTGCCTACTTCTTTAAAAAGCTATCCACTGCCATAGCCGAACCTCTAAGCATAATCTTTGAAAAATCTTTCAGGACCAGCTCCTTGCCAAAACTATGGTCACAAGCCATGGTCATCCCTATCTTCAAAAAGTGAGACCCCAGCCTAGTTGATAATTACAGACCAATCTCTTTATGCTGCGTCACCTGTAAAGTCATGGAATCAATTATTAACCAATCCATCATCCTCCACTTAGAAACAAACAACCTACTCTCTAATAAACAATTTGGTTTCAGGAAAAAACTATCCTGTAATCTGCAACTCTTACACTGCAAAAACATATGGACTAACAACTCGATCAGGGCAAAGCAATAGACGCAATCTACATAGACTTCTGTAAAGCCTTTGATTCAGTGGTACACGACAAACTACTACTAAAACTAAAATCTTACGGTATCTCTGGACACCTGCATAACTGGATAGAAGCATTCCTGTCAAACAGACAACAAATGTGTTGTCTAAAAGTTGTCTAAAAGTTGGCTCCAAATGGTGGGTTATGAATACCAACAGATGCTTCTATGCAAGGCTTTTAGAATGCACTCAGTGTCAGGATTTTAGGGAGTGGGATGGTGAGGTATCTCTTATTTGTAACCGTCCCAAGTTTTAACATCTTGATTTTTGCCTTTTTTTCTTATGGGAAAATTAAACCTATTGGGAACCTGCTTCAGATTAGCTGTTTATTGGTATCCGTAGTAGTAAACCATTCATAGGTTAAATGGGTATTTGTGTTTGTTTTCTACATTTTAGGGAAGCCCTTGGGGAAGATCCAGATGCAAAAAAATTTGTAGAAGAGGAACAGAGCAGGAGTCACAAGCAAATAGAGGACAGTAGACAGGTTAGTGGAGAATCAGGGAATCACCGTGTGAATCAAAATGTATGACATATGGAGAAACGTTATTCATTCCATAGCCTGTCCAATAAGGCAGAATAAGACAGAAACTTGATGTCTCAATAGTTTGTGTTTAACAACTATTAAAGAAGTTTGAAAAACATATTTAATCGAACAATTAATTATAAATATAATTAAAACCATAGGAAAATGTCTTCGAGATCTTACAGTGTAGCCATTTCATAGGGACCCCCACTTTCATGGGATCTTCAGGTGTGCTGACAAAATCAAGGTTTAAGGGATTGCTAGAAAATCAGTACGATCAGAGCCAATCTCAACCTGGGTGGGGAGATGTTCCACAGAGAAGGTGCCATGACAGTGAATGTTTGCCTCCAGGATTCTATCAGATGAATCTCCTTAGAAGACGGGAACTGAATATGCCCCTCCTTCCCTGCCTGCATTCTGGGACAGGTAGATGTAACCTGGGAGAGACAAATATTCCTCAAATATTAATTATATTCTGCAAATCCTGAAATGGGTTAAGTCTATAAGTGAATTTGGTACCTTGTATGAATGTATAATCTGATTCTTGCATATTTTATTTCAGAGATTGGCCAAACTGTTGCTTGATGGCACACAGCTAGTAACAAATATCCAGGTGGCAGCTGATTCTCGGGAGGCACACAGGAGATCAGAGGAAGAAGAGCTGACTCGGCAAAGGTAAGACCTCTGTATTAGCATTTCTTTGAACTGTGCAGTGTTTAGGACGTGGAAGAAGGATAAAAATCAAACTTCGCAGTGTTAGGGTTGTCTTAATAAAGCACCTTCCCCTTGAGTTGGGGCATCTGGGGGCCAAAAAGTCAAGATGGTAGCTGTAACTATACAACCAGAGCCCTGCATCTTTTAAAATACATTGTGTGTACACTGAAAGATGCCTTCAAGATGATGGTAAACTTTTTATTAATAGTTATGGCTTATAGAAGCCATCTGATGTTCTCTTCATATTACTAATTGTTTTCAGACCTCTTATATGTCTATATGTTTCTGTGTTTTATCCATATATGTGTCGTTGAGGTATTTTTAATGATTTGTCTTGGTCTGCAAATAAATATTCCTCGACAATTGTAATGCCCATCCCATCCCATCCCATCCCATCCCATCCCATCCCCCACAGATATCCTTGCTTTTGAGTAGAAATTAAACATGACATCTGTACTTCATTTTAATGCATTAGCTTGAACTTGAATGAACTACAAGAACCAGCAGACAAAGAGTATGAATAGAAAAGGCTGCTTTGTATAATTTTTTTTATTTGAAGCTTGGTTTTTCCATCAAAAAGAAAGACTGAGGAAGGAACAGGATTAATGTTCCAAGGAGCATTTCAGATTATTCATGATCCATGGCAATCCCCAACAAATTATGAGTTTTTAATCTTCATATAGAATAGAATAGAGTTTCATCTAGCTTGCTTTGAGTAAACTTCCTAGAAATTGTTATTCTCAGGGTTGAGAAACTGGAAAATGAAGCCAAGGCCAACTTAGACAAGTTTGATGAGATCACCGCCAAGTGGGCCAAGGCCAAACAGAAGACCATCCCCCAGGATCTCTGGGAGGCTCTTAATCTACAGCAGCAGCACTGTGCATTGCTGATTGAAGAGAAGAACAAGGTCATTAGTGAGTTACAACAGGTAGGATCCATGCTTAGTGTACATACATCAATCAGATTGCTCTCAGCAAATATGGCTGCAGGGACATGCTGAAAGGTCCATGCTAAGAAGAACACTGAATTTAGAGAATGGAATTTTAAAGAGGAAGATTATAATAGTTTGTATTGCAAAAGATCTCACATAGAAGGACCTTTAGATACATATACTAAACTTCCCTTGCTAAGTAAAACTGGTAGTTTAGGTAAACTACCTTGGCAAGAATTCTTCTCATATACTGTATATATCTTCATCTCTCTCTCCCTTCCTCCCTCCCTCCCTCCCTCCCTCCCTCTCCTTCTCCCTCTCCCCCCTTTCTCTTCCCAATAATTACATGATTTGGCTAATTGCAGGGATTATATAAAATAACCACTGAAAGGAAAAATACAAGCAAACTCTCAGACACCTCCCAGCTCTATTTCCCTTTGTTAAGAGGGAGTAACCAATTCTAGCTGAAACTCATATGTTCTCCTCCATTATATTTTTGTTTGTTAATGACCCATTTGGGTGCCTATGTGCATTTCCCACCCCTTAAAAAATCATCAGTGGTCTTTATATTCCCCATAAAATACAAAATGGTCCACTCCTTCCTATAATTCTGAGGCAATATCTGAGGTAAAATAAATCTTTTATTCTTATCTGATATATTTGCTATTTTTTAAAAGTTGAAAAGCCTGGGAAGTAAAATAGATTGTCATCGCAACAAACTATAAATTCCAGATGATACTCTGGGAATGGCTTTTCACAGCTGGGTACTATTACTGGAAAAAATAGCAAGTGGTAAGCATAGTAATGTGAATGGGAGCTATTTCTTTTGCCATGATCTTTGGAAGAAATATGAGATTTTTAAAAGTAATATCCTCAGCAGCAATTGGACTAAACAGTTAACAGCACCTTATTTGATGCTTTAAAGAATGGTGTACAGTCCGCGACCAACAAGCTACACGTGGCTCCCAATGGTGAGATTATGATCCCCAGAGCCATTTTCAAACTTGCTGCTGAGTTCTGATAATAAATTTTAAAGTTTCCATAAATGCTGAGAGTATTTAATCTACCACCACATTGTGATGACTGAAAATATTTGTGTTCTCCCACTATCCCCCCAAATGTGATTTCATGCAGTTTTTTAATGTTTAGCTGTTTGGCAAACTACAGGATATTTTCTTTGAAAAATGATAACTGCTTTTGCTGCCATAAGCATGGTGATTTTGAGCCTATTTCTGGGAAAGTGTTGGGGAGAAAAGCATATGGGAAAACATCGATTTTGATCAATGCATTGGGAAGTAGTGAGAGGGGAAGAAGAAAATGTGTTTGTGTGTGTATGGAAGGGTGGGAAAATACAGTCCAACGTGCGTGTGTAGATACTGTATGAGGAAAAAATAGATATGTATGCATATTGAATAAACATGTGCCTGTGAGGGTTAGGATGTCTCTTTGTAGCAGGGTGTGTGACAGTGAAGGATAAGTCTCATCATAAGTCACATCCATTTCATCTTTTCCCTATCCATTTGGATCATCCATGGGAGTGTAGTCTCCTGCCCTTAAAAAATATGAATTTCTACAAAAAAAATTTGGGGGCGAAGGTAGATTAACTAAATTGGTATAATCAGCTTGAATTGGTTTCTGAATTGGCTTATTTACTGAGTTTGCACTACATATTGAACCATGAAACTCACCAAGCACACTGGGATCATATAGCTAAGCTGTAACAGCTAAGCTATTAAAGTTCGATCACAATTAACCAAGCTTTGCATGCTGTGCTAATGCAGCTGCTAGGCCTTGACTGATTGTATTACTGAACATATCCTCTAGCTTGCTGAACAGCATTCAGTTTTGCACAGGTAAACAAACAGTGGAACAATGCCACAATTAATTATTTTTCTGAATTAAATTTTTTTTGCTTTCCTGATTGATTTTGCTTTTTCAGGAATTGAAGAGTAAAGATGATCAGTATGTGAAGGATCTTAGGAAACAGAATGAAGACATTAATTTGCTGCTGGAGCGAATGGAAGAACAGATCCGAAATCTCGTTAAAAATTACCGTCGAGAACTTTTGCATATAGAGGTATACAATTTTTTTTTTTAGAAAAACATGAATTTTGTTTGTTGTGCATGTACAAAAGGTAAGAGAAAGAACATATAATGCTGTATAGAGAAAATATAAAGCATTATATGAAAAACAATAAAATGTATATATAATGTATTTTGTCTCTTATTAATTTATAAATAGCTTGTTATATGTTAATCTTTATCTAAAATAGATAAAGAATGTTAAACTACTGACAGTACTAAATTAATTTAAAACAAAATAGTAAAACACTAAGGAAATAATGTTTTATCAATTCTACATGTTCAGCTAAATTATTCAATTCAGTTTCAAAAGTTAAGGGGACTAGATAGTAAATTAATAATTTTGAAGATTAAGCTCCATAATTTACAGACACTACTGAAGAAAACTGTTTTTATCAGATTCTTGTTTTCTGTTGTAAAATGAATAGTCAATACTGGGATTTAAGACTAGAAGCCTGGTCTTATTTTTATTATTTATTTTTATTTATTAAATTTATATGGCCGTCCATCTCACATATGTGACACTGAATGGGGCACATGATTATTATGCCATCTATGTATGTGACATACATGAAGGCAAAAATAGGAATAATTCATATGATAGGTCTTCTATTCTGAGTTTACAACTAAATAATCAACATTAATACAATTATTTGGGGATAAGTCTTAATTCTTTAGTGGAGAGAGAAATACTTACAAGGCATATGCATTGTATCAGTTTACTATTATATTTGTTTGCCAAATACAAACAGTATCTTGGCTAAGAGTGGAGTAGATAAAAATTACAAATATTCAGTAAATAATTGATCACAATAGGAAAAGAATACAACACAAAATGAATTAAAGTATTTTTTGGGGGTGGGGTGGGCCAAGCTATTCTCCAAAGCACCTGAAGGCAGGACAAGAAGCAAAGGATGGAAACCAATCAAGGAGAGAAGCAACCTAAAACTAAGGAGAAATTTCCTTACAGTTAGAACAATTAATCAGTGGAACGACTTGACTCCAGAAGTTGTGTGTGCTCCAACACTAGAGGTTTTTAAGGAGAGATTGACCAACGATGTGTGTAAAAGTATAGGGTTTCCTGCTTAAGCAGGTGGTTGGACTAAAAGACCTCCAAGGTGCCTTCCAACTCTGTTGTTCTGTTAATGTAGAAGGAGCATAACATTTTAACAGTGAAAACTATTTCAAAAACCATTAAAAGTTTAGAAGGAACAAGAAGTCTTGACTGATTCAATTTGTACCGCATGTAACTGAACAAGTGGTTCTCTTCTTTGTTCTAAAAATATTGTCAATTGAGACTCACTCAATCTTACTTGGGAAAGGCCCACTTGTGTAATCCAATTGTACTTCAAGTTACAGTGCAGGAGTTGGCATCCATTTTATCATTAAAATGTTAGCTCTATAAAGAGATTTTTCTAGCCTTATTTGAGATTATTCACTTCTTTACTCTTAGACTAAGAGCTGTTTAAATCTTATCCCAAAGGTGCTTTTTCAAGAGGCAACTGGACTTTCTGTTTTTTCTTTGAAGACGTTTTGCTTCTCATCCAAGAAGCTTCTTCAAGCTAGTCTTCAAGCTTTATGGACGAAAAGCAAAACGTCTTCGAAGAAAAACCAGAAAGGCTAGTTGCTTCTTGAAAAAGCAGCTTTGGGAAAAGATAAACAGCTCTGTCAGAGATGAAGAAGCTTCTTGGATGAGAAGCGAAATGTCTTCAAAGAAAAGTCAGAAAGTCCAGTTTCCTTTGGGATAACCATGACCTGGATGACTGAGGATCTCCGTAGATGTTTAAATCTTAGTGTTTCCCCCCACCCCAGAAAGCCTTTGAACTGGAACGTCGTGAACTTCTCGCAAACAACAAAAAGAAATGGGAGCAAGCCATACAAACTCTCAACCGACAAGAGGTAATTTTGGTTTTTTTGTTCTGTTGGATCCCAGGGAGCAGTGATGGTACAAGAGAATTCTTTGTGGAAAAGCTGATAGAAAAGAAAGGTATATGGCAATAGCTGGAATATAAGAGGAAAAGATATGCTTGCAGAGGAAACTTGAGTAACAATCTTTTGTAAAGTTTAAATATTAAATATTTAAGGAAAAGTCCTGGCCAATATCAAGATTTTTGATGGCTCAATTAATGGGCGATGCTTGAGAGTGAATAAGTATAGAGAGAAGAAGCCTAGATGTGATCTCCAGAGTGTAATTTAAGGTGACTTTATATTTTAAAATCTGGAACATAACAGGCTCTCTTAATTTTTCTTGGTTAATCTCTGCCATTATGTCTTTCATAATGGGAAATAGAAGACTTGACGCAAAGTGCATGTGTGAAGATGCGCACAATGGTAAGAAAAGTGTTTTCCCCAAAAAAAGTATGTGTAGTAAATGTTATTGCCTCTGACTACACTGTATTTATTTTTAAAAAAAAACCTTGGAAAAATTATTTTAAAATCTTTGAAATGGCATGAATTGGAAGGAAGGAGATGTTGCCCTTATCTTTGGCAATGTGGGTATAGGCTAATATGATGCTAATATATAGAAATTTTTTAGAACAGATCATTAGCTGATAGAAGAGAACATTTGTATATTGAAGTGTGGGGGCCCTGGTGCTCTTTTGGTTGTTTTCTTGCAGACATTTCATTAGCAAACTAGTAAACATCAACAGTGCATCATTCGATCATTAAGCATGAGTTACCTTGAACCACAATATGGCTGGCATCTTACCATGTTTCCCTGAAAATAAGACCCTGTCTTATAATTTTTGTGCCACCAAAAAAGGCACCAGGTCTTATTTTCAGGGGATGTAATCCACTGACTAACCTCACTTGCACGCGTCACCCCCAGCCTCCTTTTTTCTGTCAGAGGCCTTCTGTCAGGGTTCTGACAGATGCCCTAATTAACTTCTTCTTCTGTGGCTGGCAAGGCTTTCCTGAAGACCTCTGCAGCTGATAACAGAGCTCTGGATTGATCAAGAGCTCTGTTATCGGCTGCAGAGGCCTTCAGGAAAGCTTTGCCAGCCTTGCTGGCTGCAGAAGACGTGGGCCGGCAAGGCAGGTATCAGGGTATGTGAGACCTAGTTACAACTGTCCAAAGGTAAGTAGTAGGGCAGCTCCACCCCGATCCCCACCCTAGCTTAATTTTTACCTATATACTTTGGAATGGGCGGGATCTGAATTAGGGCTTTTGGGGGTGGGTAGGGCTTATATTGGGCGCATGTGTAAAAAGCAAGCTAGGACTTTCAGGGTAGGCTGTATTTTCAGGGAAACATAGATAGATAGATAGATAGATAGATAGATAGATAGATAGATAGATA